AGGGAATTCCCATAAATTCTTTCTGTGGGTTGGCAGTGTTGTAAATAGCAATATGTGCGTTTTATTATGAAGACAAGAGAACGGTTAAAAAAATTAATGCTGAATCAGGCTTAAGCTTGATGTCAATTTTGATAAAACATAACTAGTTTAGATTGCAGTGGGGCCCCTTTTTTTATTTGCCCCAGGGCCTATGGTTACCTAGCTACGTCACTGGCTGTAGGTATCTGTTGTCCTTGCTCATAGTTCCTTGCCTCCTTCTACAGTTAAGTATTTAAACCAGAAAATACAGAAATTTATTATCACTATTAAATAGGACAACTTCGCACTAAGATTTACTATTGGAGAAAATGTATGGCAGACTTAATATGGCTTGCGCAAGTTAAACTCACACAGACAAATGTAGTTATTCTCATTTTAATAATTAAGAAGTGTAACTGAACTACATCCTATGTTATACCCTTCTGCTAAACTTACGAAGCTTAAATAAGATGATCAAAAAATTGAATTTACCTTACCAGCCCAGTGCCCGTGTCTCCACTTATCAAGCGCGAACAAAAAAGGTGAAAAACGTAGTCGTTTCTCGGCTGCAGCGGACAACGTTGCAAAGAGCAGTGCAGTGGGAGTGCGAGTTGCTACTTTGTGCGGCGCTGCAACTCCTTGCTTCTAATTAGCTACGTGTTTGCGGCTCAAAACTCACATTTTGTTACGAAATTATTTCTCTTTCACCATGGAGCTAAATGATCTTAACTGCTGTGTGTCCACATAACAAGCGCGAACAAAAAAGGTGAAAAACGCAGGCGTTGCTCGGCTGCAGCGGAGAACGTTGCAAAGAGCAGCGCAGTGGGAGTGCGAGTTGCAACTTTGTGCGGCGCTGCAACTCCTTGCTTCTAATTAGCTACGTGTTTGAGGCTCAAAACTCACATTTTGTTCCGAAATTATTTCTCTTTTACCATGGAGCTAAATATGATCTTAACTGCTGTGTGTCCACATAACAAGCGCGAACAAAAAAGGTGAAAAACGCAGGCGTTGCTCGGCTGCAGCGGAGAACGTTGCAAAGAGCAGCGCAGTGGGAGTGCGGGTTGCAGCTTTGTGCGGCGCGGCGCTGCAACTCCTTGCTTATAATTAGCTACGTGTTTGCGGCTCAAAACTCGCATTTTGTTACGAAATTATTTCTCTTTCTATTAACATGGAGCTTAAAAATACGATCTTAACTGCCGTGTGTCCACAGAACAAGCGTGAACAAAAAAGGTGAAAAACGCAGGCGTCGCACGGCTGCAGCGGAGAACGTTGCAAAGAGCAGCGCAGTGGGAGTGCGAGTTGCAACTTTGTGCGGCGCTTGCAACTCCGTGCTTCTAATTAGCTACGTGTTTGCGGCTCAAAACTCACTGGTAACGTAATTTTTTTTGCTGTTAGTCGTGCGGAATGAGCGGTCTGGAGTTAGTTTCGTGAGATTATTTGAATCATGCCTTACATCTATTGTATTCGTATTGTAGCAATGTCGATTCAAAACCCAATAGTTTAATAATATTCACTACAGATTCCAATTTCCAATAACTGGTTTGACTCTAGTAGACACTAGAGAATCAATACAAGTATCTACATCTAATAGGTAGGTACTTACCTGTAGTTAATTATACCTCAATTACGCGGTAAACCAAAAAAAAAAACAAATGAAAAATATTTTTGGCCATTTCGGACTAAATTTATTTATTATGACATCTCTAATAATATTTTTTGAATACTATAATAAAACATATTGCCTTAGAAACGAGAGTCTATATTACTCGGGCTCATAATTCCCACCTTTAATCCGGCGAACGGGGAATATTCCTAGTTTTATTATCAACTTGACGGGAATTAATTTCCTCTGAGAATTCCGTGGGAGTGTGAAGTGTCTTATCGAACGTCTTGTATCGGTTGTAGGAGCGAGCTCCGTGCTTTCGGAACAAACAATGACAAATGGTTGAATATCTTGTTACATACGCCAACTTGTATTATACAGAGTGATATTTCAATGGTTGACTTTGTCGTAGTGCTATTTCATAGTTTCGGATTTTCCAGTTGGAAAATCCAAGTGGTCTGATTTTCAGTCTTAGACCAGTTTGCCCCATAATCTTACGGGACAAACCTCTCATACCATAATTTGACATTCATCATCATCATCTCAGCCATAGGACGTCCACTGCTAAACATAGGCCTCCCCCGATGGTAACGGATGGTACCCGGTTGGTAGCGGCCTGCGTCCAGCGCTTTCCTGCTACCTTTAATTTAATTTGACATTATCGCCATATTTTAAGTAAAGGGGTGAAAGATACCGGGTGTCCGTACACCCGGTATCTTTCATCAGGTCAGTTTCTTTAATCAGGTCTCGGACCCGTGTCCGAGACCTGATTTTCGAATATTTAACCCCTAGTCGCTTACGACATCCACGGAGAGTGGAGATGATCCAATTCTATTCTGCCGTAAGTACTTAACCACACACCTTAAATTAAAGGCGTGAAGAAAACGTAACAAAAAAGCAGCCAGAGATATTTCGCATTATAATGGTATAGATGATTCGAGTAACGCGAGCATCACTCGTGGATCAAATGAAACGTCAGATGCAGAGATGATTCGCTGAAAAGAGGCCACAATAAAATTGCGGTGCTATATTTGAAGGCACTTAGAGCGACTGCCATCGAATCGAAACCTTGTTCATTTCTTCTGAATGAGTTTCATTGGACGTCACGAGCAGAATTCAAGGAAATACAGCGGTTGGAAGCCGCATCAATGAGTTGATATTTCTATGAGAAGAGAATGTTTCTTAAAAGGGAACGAATAAAAAACACTTTGGGCTTTCTGTATTTATTTGGGAAGAATGTATGGGATATGAGCACGAGCAGGCTATTCTAACAGCCTTGTTTTGTTTCGGCCATCTTCGTCTATGGTTAGACAAAAATGAACCAAAGAAAAATATAGCTCATTTCTCAAAAGATAATAAAATACCAGGTAGTAGGTAGTCTTGAAGTTCTTTTTCCCAAAGCCCTGTCTTATGATCCCATCCGGCCTAGACAAAGACCCTCATTACAATCCAACTCACCAAATGCGTTAATATGATAATTATAATCTAAGTCTGTGTCGTGTATTACCTAATTTTGTGAGATTATTCGTAGGTTAAAACTTGGTAACGCAAAGTCAATAAGTATTTTCATTCAGGCACGCAGCTAAGGCCTACCTATGTTCAAATCCCTGCAAATAAGTTCAAACTTTGAAGGGGGTGGTTTAAATAACAACAGTGAATGGACTTAATTAGCTTATTTCTCACTTCTAATTAATAACACACAACAACAGTTTCCTGTAAGTATAATTTAGTCTCAGCTTCTAAGTAAGTAGGTAATAAAAGACTTATATATAAATGACTATACCTGATGCCCGTTTTCACCATCAAACCTTAATTTTAAGTGATGGTAACACATAAAGCCTGGTCCGTGAGCGAGAAAATTAGGGGTTGATGGTGAAAATGGGCAAGAGTTTCTTAACTTTCTTATTGTCAATTGTTTTTATTAATTTTCGAATATTGTTTCATCTAGAACGCATAATGTCAATGGCCAGTAACTCAATCTTCTGAAAATGGGTGTCCCGGCCTGTATTGCGTTACACAGGCGACGGCGGATGCTATCCCCTGGACTCTTTTAGGTTGCTTTTCCACAAAAGATGCGCGAAGAAAATGAACGGTGCGAGCTTTTACTCATAAATGGTGCGAGGATGCATAGTGTGGCGAAGCTGTGAAACGTTATCCAGATGAAAAGTTTTTGTGACATCTTATGAGCGCGAAGGATGCATGTAAGTTCTTTTTAAATACAAAATATCTGTTGTTAGCCAGACCGTAGAATATCAGTCGCATCCCTTGCAATTTGCGAGTGAGTTAAAACCTTTGAGTCAAGCAGAAATTAGCGTAGGCAGTATCTAATCAAATGTTTCTTATTCATCATTATTGACATGTTTTATAAGTACCTAGGTACAAAAATCTCTCAACGCTAAGTCGTTTCCTCTAGTCTTATTTAGTGGTTTAGAGCTGCTGCTAGGTAAAAAAGTGATTCCATTGGTGTTTGACAAAAATACTTACTTAGCTTAGCACATCCTTCATTGGAAAGGCAGCCTTATGCGGTTAACTCAATCACCGCCCTGGATTTTTCCCCTTCACTAATTCGTCAGTTCAGGTCAGGTCTGCTGTCGCGAAGGCGATGGAAACTAACAAGGGTAGAGGATGTCATTCTGACAAGTATTTACAGTGTTAAATAATAAGGCTTCACCCGCGTGAAATTTAGTTTGTCACAGATCATCCTCTTCGGTCCGCCCCTGTATTTCCTTACCTTACCTAGTTACTTAAAAATGCGTATTTTGTGGAACAAGATCAATTCGCTTATTTTTATGTTTATCCTACGCCCGCGTCACCTATGACCTACCTACATAAGTTTTTTTTTTATTTTAATAGGCATGGTAGACATTTAGGCTTTAACGGAATTGGTTCATTTTGCATAGGTAGGTACTTGCTTAAAAACCTAGTCTTACTGGTCCTACTCTTGTCTAGAAACGAAAAGAAAAAAGAATCTGCAACTTACTTTCCTATTAAGTACTACCTAATCTCTAATAATATTACTTACGTTTCTTTATTATACTTATTTTACAATTAAATTAACAGTAACATTATGCGTTTATTATGTTTACATTTTTATTATTCACACACACTGCGCTTGAAATAATAACACGCAGACAGCTGCCGGCCGAATCACTATACTACTGTGATACTACTACCACAACAAACAATACACACTACAACAGAGACACAACAACGTCATACGTTCAGTAAAAACAGCAACGAATGAAACGCTTGCGATCCTTTTTGCACTTATCGCTTAGTAAGCCATTCCTGTCTCGCTCGCACGAGCTTCAAACGACGCGACGGCGCGGCGACCGAACAACGCATATTATACCGATTCACAGTTCATTCACTCGCCGCTCATGGTAGCATTCACTCACTTGTTTTTATTATCACAGATTATTGGTATTTGTGTAGCGACGGCCGTCGCTTGGTGTCAGTAATCAGTTCAAAACAATCTGTTTTACGTTTAATAATTGTGTTGTGAAAATGAATCCTGAGATTTATGTTAAAGGACAAATTGAATATTTCGATTATGAAAAATGTAAAGCAGCGTTTAAGAAGATTCAATATAATTACATCAAAAGGAATAGTGAAGGTATAGTCGCAGGCAAAGTAAGTTTTTGGACACGCGAGAAAGTAGAGATTTACATTGACATAATACTGGATTATAAAAAGAAGAAAGAATCGTACAGCCATGACGAAGATGTTTCCAGGTACGATGCCATAAAAAAAAATGGGGTGTACATACTTGTGTTAAAAGGGAAGACATTTCGTGGTAACCACATCGAAGTAGTGCCATTTGAGGATTGTTTCGATAAAATTGTGTATGTTCATAGAAATTTTGGGCATAATAAGAGATTAATCAAAACAATGTATAAAACATTAACTCGGAAATATGTTATAGACAAGATATGGGTGTTTCAGATACATCGCGCTTGTAACGTCTGCAACAGTTCCGCGCCATTAGAAGTAAGTGAACTAAAAACCGACAAAGTCAAGAATCAGAACAAGTTCAATAAAATTTATCAAGCCACAGTTATAAACATGAAAGAAACGGACAACGAACCTAAATATTCAGCGTTACTGGTACTAAGTGATAAATATACAAATTTCGTATTTATGCGACCACTACCGAAGATACATGAAGACTTTATTGCTATCGAGCTTGTCAAATTATTCGCTGACTATGGACATCCTTGTATAATAGAGACTACACTAAAAGCGATATTTAGCCCAGTAATAAAGTTGCTTCCGAATTTCGGTAATGCATTTACGATTAATATAATACAATCGCCTTTTACGGATAATTCGTGGCACCAGCGAGCCTTGGTGTACCTGCAGGAGTGGATGAGCATCAATGAGACTGAGAACTGGGTAAGCGGGTGCCCTATTGTCCAGTGGCAACTAAACAATTTGCGCCGCCGCGACAACACCACTCCTTACAAACAAGTTTTTGGTGTAGATCCCGTGAGAGATTTAATCACCTCATACACGAAGCTATAAATACTACTTAGATGGTACCTACCTACTAAGGCTGGAGATGTTACTATCGCGCCAAGTAGCATCTTCAGCAGGGCTAGGATGCGCGCCATGATAACTTATCTACTAATTTAGACGATTAATGTTTGGGCTCATTATGCAAAATCGATAAAATGCCTCGATAAAAGTTCGTCGCGACGCGACGCGCATTCTAGACCTACTGGACTAAGCGGTTTATTGTGGCATAGCAGTGATAAAATGTGAAATTTAATAACATTAAAAGCAATAACTATAGATTTTAATGTAATAACGACTAAGAATAAAGAGTATAATTCTACAGACGAATTTTATTTAAATAACAACTTCCTTGACCCTTGAGTCAGATAAATAGTTACGTTCCTTTGAAAATAAAAATGTCATAGATGTCATAATGACTCAGTTAGGTGGGTACCTACCTACCTATTCTAAACAATAAGGCTGAGTTGCACCACCTAACTTTGACAGTAAATTAACGATAACCGGTGCTTTTTGTATGGATTTTGACAGATTTTTGACGTTTTGTCAAAGATAAAGTAACATGGTGCAACCCAGCCTTAGTATCTTACCTACCTAGGTATGGTATTTTCTGGAATAAGAATAATGCAATAGAATAGGTACCTACTTCATTTCATTCCATTCATCATCAATGATCATGCATCGATGATCTTTTGTTTTAATTTCTATAGGTAAGTAATCGTTGTTAATTATTCCGAATAATATTAAGATAATAATAAGAAATCAACGAGAAAAAATTTTAGGTTAATACAATGATAAGTTCTTGCTTGAGTTAGATAGGTAGGTACTCATAATTTTTTAAATGTGTTTGCGGAGTGAACCTTCTGTCTGTTGTTACTGTTACGTTATTCTGTGATGACGACATGTCTCCCTCCCGCTCCCCTGCGCTAAAGCGCGCGCTTCTATCTTTTATCTCTTTCGCTCGAGTGTTAATCACAACGTCTCTCTCTTTCGCTCGGGTGTGTTGAGGCTTGAGATGAGGAGCGGGAGGCGGTGAAAGCGACGCACTGCGAACCGATCGGCGGGCCAATCCCCCTCAGTCCGGTATTACGTCGTGCTGAGTTCAGTGTTATTAATGTAACGTTCACATCAACTGACACAAAATGGCGTCATCTTTCAACGACACAGTGTCAGTTCTATATTTTAATTATGAAGATACCAAAAAAGCATTCAATCTCATGCAAAATAGATACATAGAGAAAAACAAACTAACACCACAAGTTAGTAAAATGTGGACGCGCCAAAAAGTGGACAGTTTAATTAAGGAAATCAAAAGAACTGGTCATAAATCTACTACTCTAGAAGAAAATAACCACTACTACGATATCATCGATCTGGAAGGTGAAGGTGATTATAAACTTATATTAAGATCTGTGAAAGATTCCTCTAAATATCGAAGAATCGTACCGTACGAAGACAGTTTTGAAATAGTTGTACATATGCATAGGCTGTTTGGACACAGAGACATATGCAAAAGTACCTATGATTATATTTCGAAGAGGTATGTTTTGGATGTAATATGGCTATATTTCATAGCAAAGGCTTGCAACTTCTGTGACAGCTGTCGCCGTATCGAAGTTAGTGAGGTTAGTAAGGGCTTAAGCGAATTTAAACAATGCTACAGAATTTTTACCATTCTCATGAATAACGAATCGGTAGTTAGTCCATACACATATCTATTATTAATAGTTGATAAGTACACAAGCTTCGTGTATTTAAGGCCCTTAACGATGTGTGATGAGAATAATATAGCCATAGAACTATTTAAGATTTTTACTGATTATGGAATACCGAAGTTGCTGGAAACTTTGAGCGTAGAATTTTACATGAGAGTATGTGATATTATTGGCAAATTTATACCTGAGCTCAAAGTGAGTGTTAATTCTATGCCGATCCATTATACCAACTGGCCCGATCGAGTGACTGCATATTTGCAAGACTGGATGGACATCAACGACAGCAAAAATTGGGTGATCGGGAGCCAATCGGTCCAATGGCATATGAACCACATCGTCCGCGACAAAAAGACACCGTTTCTAGATGTGTTCAAGATGGGACCTTTCCGAGATTTATACATTGAATAAGTCTACATACAACGCCCTAGAAGTAGGGGCATATAGTCCGAAACGACTTAAAAATGCACACTAGTAACAAATACTGCTTTAAATACTTCATAGTCACTTGGATTTAAAATCATACAAAATAGTAGGTACGTAAGAACTTTTAAATAAAGATCTCAAAACAAATTTAACTTATGTTTCTTTTATCCCTGAATCCCATAATTTATTTACACTGCCTGATAATAATCATCTTTTTTATACTTGAAAGTTGGTCCTACATAATGGTTACCCTAGCTACTTAACTATTGTATTTAAACCACTAGCTTTTAGACTAGGCGCAGACGCGCAGACCACAGATTTTTAGTTGGCCGATAGTTGTGCCCGATTTTAAATTGTATGAAGAATCGGCCAAATCAAATCGGTGTAATGCAATTCCATACATTACATGCCCATACTGATCAACTGCCCGACTAAACTATCGGCCTACGAAAATTCGATGGTCTGCGCCTAGGCTTACTTGCAAGTCTTGCAACCAATATGTTATAGTAGTTAGGCATAACTGGGCACCGTTAATCAAATAGTTAACTTCGTTAATCGTTATACCGTTAATAAAAAAATAACTTCGATAAACGTTAAAACGTTACATTTCGCAAGATTTAACGCAAGTTAACGTTTATCCGTTAACACGAAAATGATAAAACGAAAAAAAAATTGTATAATTGCAAGGTTCAAATAATTACTACCAAAATAAAAAAATAAAGCCATATTTTCTAGTAGATTAAAATTTATCCTACTATACATAATTTTTTTAAGGGTTGTGAGGATAGATGGATGTTTTGTTACTTTATCACACAAAAACTACTAAACGGGTTTTGATTAACTTATTAGCTTTTTCACAGTCCTGTAGTCGATTTTCACATTAACTTATAATCTAGTAATCTATGTACTTACTATTCTATTACTACTACGTGTGTGCTCGTTAGCGACTGCGTTAAAAAAATCTATGATTAGTTCTTGAAAGTAGCCACTAGGGGCGCTGTACAATGTGTCATTCATTTAATGATTATAATGTCATTTTTTTACGTAGGTAGCTAGCACCCCTAACGTAAACTCATGGTAAGCACACAGTATATTGATTAGGGCTTTTTAAGATTTAGGTTATCTTATAGGTAAATGAATAAATTTTCATAATAAGATTAATAAATAAGTATACCTACTGGCGAACTTAAATATAATACATACGACACCCTGGAGATTAGTAACTTCGCGATATTAGCTCCCAACTAATCCGTGAACAAAGTCGCAAGCCATTAAGCGGCGAAAGCTAAACTTTCGTATAGCAGAATCAGGCACGTATTTGGAGCGAGCAAAATTGAAAGATGGATTATTTTAAACTAAATGAAGGACAGATTTTGTCATAATTAAAAGTGGATACGAGCGAGGTTTAGTAAATCAATAAAACAGAAACAAAATTTCCTTGTGTAGTACCTAATTCAGAACAAACAAAATTAGTTAAATTACCCAAATGATTAGGTTATAATTTATGATTTTAAAGAATGTAATCGTAAAATTATGGATAGCAAAACATAACCATGATGATGATTGACAAATTCATTCCCCCTTACAACCCGGTCGGGCTAACCTGCGCACCTGGCAGCAGTGACATCACATCGACGCTCAGGCGAACTTGTTTAAAGTGACGTTTAGTTTAGTATAGAAATATCATTTTAAACCACTGTTCAACTGGTGTGTAACCTTTTAATAAAAAGATGACTTCAATATTATTTGCTTTTATTTTATCATGTCATGCATAAATACTCTAGGGAGGCGTAACTGCCCACACTAGCGCTAAACTATATACGCATTTCAACAGTCCCAAGTCCGGCCCTGGCAAAAGTTGAGCCAATTAACGATTCAGTTGAACTTCATTAGCTGCGAGTATGCGCCATTATACTGACGTGACGTCACGTTGGATGTTCCGGAGCAAGCAACGTCAAAGGCATGGAACGGAACATCGCTTAGATTTTAGATAGTGTAGTGTGTATTATGGTTAATTAAGCTAAGGTCATAATTGAATTGACTAAAATCTGGATTAAAACATAGGCGTAATTAACCACAAGCAAGACAGATGTAACGGAGACGCGAGGCGCATTTTAGGCAACTAGGCAGAACTACTTACTACGTCAGTCGTTAATGATATTTTTTACATATCATAGATACTTAAGTTTAATTTCATAATAATAACTATAGCTGCCAATTTGTATTAACGCTTTACGTAATAGTTGTTTAGCAAACAGCGTTTGCCAAACGCGTTAAAAATACAACTCGACCCTTAACCGCTTCCCAGATCACTGCTTCGTATTTCAACAAAAATCTTCCATCAGCCAATTGCAATAAATGAGCGAATCTGATTGGAATCCGACGGGATGGGATTTTTTGCCCATCGGGACGTCAATCGCTCAGATACCGCGGGGCAATTTGCTGCCGTCGGGGCCATCACGATCCCTTATTTGTGCGGTTGTTGTTATAGTTATTGTTATTACGCAACCGGTGCCGTTATTTTTTCTTACTGGTAACATTTGAGACCTACCATTATAGTACCTCCCTGTTTATACCTACGTACTTTGGGCTAGAGGTTAATAAATGGCGGCTTCACCAAGTCTGCCATAAAAGAAAAATCACTTAAGTAGATACCAAACTCCAAAGAATTATAAATAACTGAATCTTGATTACATACAGATATAGAAAAACTAAATAATTGATAACATCACCATCGTTTATTATAATTATAATAAATCTAAAACAATCTTACACCCAAAAAATAAAAGAGAAGACTAAAAATCGATGCGAATCTTCCCATAAACCCTCAATAATTATAATCTCTTTGTAATAATTTAGACAATGAGGGACATCGGCCGCCATCGAGGTGGATTACCGAGGACTCCGTAATTAATGGAGTCAAACAAGACCCTGTGATGAGAATTCAATTAACATTATCGATCTGTGACCTATTATTATGAGATGAAATTCACTGAAAATGCCCCGCGATTTAAAATACTTTATTAGAAGATTAATTAAAAGCTGGTCTGGAGTTTGCTATATTAAGATTTTATTTTAAGTAATTTAATAGATACTACGCACCCAAACTTTATTAAGATTTTATTTTAAGTAATTTAATAGACACTACGCACCCAAAGGTACATTTACAAGCTTCTGCATAATTTGTCCTGAAAAGTACTTGTTTAAGGTTACAGTCATGCAATTACCAAAACATTATGGTACCTTAGAACTTCTTATACAGAACCAAGGTGGCGTAAAAAATGGTTGGACCACTATTTGCGCCACTAGGGTAAACCTTATTGTATTATTACTATGTACTGCATAATTAGGCAATCTCTTCAAAATAATTTTAATTGACTGTTCTAGAAATTCGATATCAAGAAAGAAACTCAAGAATCATTTTCTTAAAGGCACTTTATTTTTAGGGTTAGAGTAATTTTGGTAGACAAACAACATTAATTTCGGGGAATCCTATGTACAAAGTAAAGTAAGTATAATGTGGTATAATGTTATAAAACGTTGGCTATTGTATGGTACATTCTAGTTACACCACAACAACCAATCTTTTTTGTTTTATCAGTTCGTACCTACAGACAAAATAGGTGGGTTAGGTAGCAAATGGCAAAATGAAAGTTGCGAAGGAGTAAATTAATTTGTGTGTGTGTAGGAGCCACGGGGTCTAATCACCCATTACACGCGTGATTTACTCTATTAGCCCTAATGGAATCCAGCGAAATCATTAGTGGCAAAGGCATATAGAAAGTATACTACCTACTCACATCATTAGTTCAGAAATTAATTCCGTCTAGTGTTGGATAAAACAAAGAAAAAAGGTTAAAAATCTTTTTAAGTTCAGCCTACGTAAAGTAGCTAGGTACATCTATACCTAGTTCTTTTTTAAGCTTACCCAAGTGTTAATTGTGAAAAAAGATGTTAAGTAGATAGGTACGTCTTACCATCTTCATAATGGCGCACTTAGCGGAATCAATCTTTGATTAATTACTCCTTAATTCCTCGGTCTAAATCGCTATTCTTATCCCAAGCTACGAACGATTCCAATGGAATACGAACGAACCCCCACTTGTAAAGTTAAACACGAGAGATTCTTATAAAGGTTCCACTTTCGCCGAATAAAAAGTCTTGGAAGCGAGGCCATTAGATGGGCATAACACCGACAACTTACCTGGTAAGATCCCTTAATGGGCTTTCAATTTAAAAAGTTCCTAATAGTCTCCGAGGCCCATTTATCGAAAACAGACAAAGTTGTACCGTTCCAGAGTTTTACGTCACGACGTCACCTGCTTGAGGGATAACGATGGTCTTTACCTTTGGATATTTTGATCGGCTATTACAATCTAAATCTTGTTACACAACGTTCGTCTTTGTGGACATACCTACACACAATACTATTACTAGGAATACTTACCGTGTTAATGCAATTTTTGTACAATAAGTAGACAACAACAGTAGGAAGTATGCAAATGACCTTAAGCTTAATCTATGGATGTAAGTTTTGGATTCAGGCCTGCTTATTCTGTAAGGAAAGCAATAATTATTTAGATTAGTACAACACGCATTAATATTTATTATTTATAGAGTTTTAAAAATTATGTTGTAAGCTCAGTAATCTATCTATCTATCTATACGTCTATACATATAAATAAAATTGAATTGATATTCGTTAGTCTGATTAAAACTCGAGAACGGCTGGGCCGATTGAGCTGATTTTGGTTTTAAAATGTTTGTCGTAGTCCAGGGTAGGTCTAAACGGTGAGCAAATACGCGCGCGACATTGTTTTTCTGTGACAGACAAAATTCCACGCGGGCGAAGCCGCGGGCGGAAAGCTAGTAAACATTAAAGTTGGTTTGGGTTAAATACAGTTTTCTAAAAAGTGCACAATATTCCTTAATAAAATAAAATCCACTAAAGCGTAGACATCTACAAGGCTATAAATTTTAAATAAACAGATAAATCTGCCTGTTAATTTTAATTAAAACAGACACTAAAGCTGTCAATCAGCTGGAGATTGAATAACCTCACAAGATGGCTAACGGATTTAATTAATTTCTGTAGGTACCTACCATTGCTGTCAACTATGGCGCCCCGGGTGAGGGCACTGAGAGGGATGGGGGAGTCATTAATTAACCAGTTTAGAAGGTAAGAAAGTAATGTAAAACAATAATAATTAATTGTGTAAATTACTTACAAAAACGAGCTTTTAGTCCTTAATGTTAAAGCTCTCATCAAGACAAAACTAAAGAGTTGCTGTAAGTTACTTTTGAGTTTTTAAAACAAAGCGAGATATTCAAAATTTATTCTCGTTTAACTCAAATCGATTAAACCTTTTTCCTCCTTGGATATTAACAATACTGGCTTAATTTGAATTTAGAACAGTCAAAAATGACAAACAAAAATCAAAAGGTGACGCATGTCATCGGCACAAAAATACAAAATTAGTTTTTATATTTTGATAACCACCACTATGTATTTTATTTTGAAATAAGGTAAGTAAATATGTTACAATTATGTTTATTATCTGCTGATATCGGTTCTGGTAACTAAAATGACAAAGAAAGTAAAAATGCTTTACATTTTTGACCATCAGTTGAGTGGTAGAAAAATTTTGTAACGTTACATTTGTGAAGAATTATGTATTATCTCCCTCCATCCGCAGTAGACTTAAGCTAATGATAGTATGGCAAAGAAAGCCAAAGTACCTTAGGTACCTAGGTTCACCAAGTCTACCAAGTCCTACCTGCGAGGTCAATTTATGAGGATAAGTGAATATCACTTACCTACCCTACCACCTACTCCACCACAAATTCAGCAATCGGAAAGGAAGCATTTATTGTTGTGCTTTGCATCTTTTTTTAGTTTTATGCTGCTGAAACATGATAGAAGCAAGCAGCACGGATAATGCTACAGTCACTACAGCGCCCACTCCAACTCCGGTTAGTATCTTCAATCTACACACGCTTAATGAAACTCTACAAAGTGTGTTATTGGCTAAATTGAGAATAAAAAAGCTTCAGTGTATAAGAGTCAATTACCTACCCAACTTCACATTACAAAGTACACGCACATTACATAAGTATGAAATAAATAATTATGAATACTAGAGACATACATACCCATTAAAATATGTGTGCATTTTGCTTAAAAGACGCCAGCGTCCATTCTTCCTGATTTTTCTGACCAGAAACCTGTAACAGTTAATCACGATTATACTCTTTGTCTTTCCCATAGGATAAACCATTGCAGGATGGTCCAAAAGAAGAAGACGACGTCGCCCGAGCCGAAGCCACATTCCGCTACACTGTTCAGAACATAAGCCAGTTGAAGGAGCAAGTGCTCTCTCCCCCATGCTACGTTCGGTGTCTTCCATGGAAGATCCTGATCCTCATCCGGCACACGACGACCCCTGACAGGCAGCAGCAGAAGGCTTTAGGAGTATTCTTGCAGTGCAACGGGGATTACGACACCCCAGGGTGGTCTTGCTATGGCTTGGGAGAGCTGAAACTGATGTCCCATAAGCCTGATGGCGCGCATCTGTGTAGGAAACTTCATCACATGTACCACTGGTAAGTCCAGAATTAGCGAGTTGCTACGTTTCTAATCCCAGTTGTTGTCAGATTTTTGTGCCACGTGTTCTCTGAAGTCCCTGTAAATTATCAGGTTAATTCAAGCCTACAAAAGATTGACAATACGTCATTAAAATGTGCTTATGAAGCATCATCATGACATATTATATTGTAGCGATCGTAGAGAAAAACCTTTAAAGCTGACTAACTTGTACTTTGCCATGCTAAATCCTTTTCAATGTAAAAAAGACTTTATAAATAATGAGACTGTTTTACTATTCCCTGTTGGACATGTTTTAATTTATCCAAGAATCTCAGAGTACCTAGTACGTATTACGGTCCGAAAATATTCAGTTTGAAGAATTAATCGTTCACTAAGTTTGCAAATAAGAGATGAAAATTTATGCTCGGTTCGTTTATCAGAGATTTTGCGAACTTTGCTTGAATTAATTTGTAATTAAATTAGGGTTTAGACTTTATTCCACTCGTTTCATAGAACCATTTGTTTGTTCAGAACTTAATAATGCCATGACATTGAGAAATATATTTTTAAAATTGAATTTTATGTACAAAAGGTTTTAATTAAATGTTTAAATTAAAGCGAACTTATGAGAGAGAAATCAATGATTAAATCTACAGAAGCTGATCATTTTTGTTGTAAAATTAAACTATTATAATTATAGTGATGCAAGATCTTCCATCTTATGGTTCTGATAAATTACAGCAAAGAAGATGATTGGGGGTTCGCTCACTTCATATCCTGGGATGATCTGATGGACCCTAACAATGGTTTTGTAAAAGACGACTCCATAACGGTGGAGGCCCATGTTGTAGCTGAGGCACCCCACGGCATTTCATGGGACTCGAAAAAACACACAGGATATGTCGGTAAGATCTACAAAACACATAAAAGATTTAAATAGTAAACCACCTAATTACTAGTATAATTATCAAACAAAATATGATTGATATTCTAGTATTATCTTAAAACATTATCACTGAGTTAGTCCTAGTCCCAGTCCTCCGACCTGTTACAAACTGGGAGAATTTTGGTTTATTTGAAAGTTCCTTTGGTTAGAAGAATGAGGGCACTACATAACAAGTACGAAGATTAATGTTACAAAATTACATTTACTACCTTGCTGATAGATAACATTTTATATTGAGGCAATTTTAGTAGACTTCTTTACTAAAATGGTTTTCTCCTGAGAAAATAGGAGCAGATCCCAAATTTAACATCCTGCAGGCTAACAATGTCCCATATTCTAGAATGTCTAATAATGCACCCGCTGTTCTATTAAATTTAATCTCCTAGAATAACAAGTCTTGATCTCTCTCACTCACTCGTCAAACAATTGCTCTTTATTTCTCAGGGCTCAAAAATCAAGGTGCGACCTGCTACATGAACTCGCTTCTCCAGACTCTGTTCTTCACCAATGTGCTCCGCAAAGCAGTTTACAAGATACCCACAGTGGGCGACGACAGCTCAAGATCGGTCGCGTTCGCGTTGCAACGAGTCTTCTACGACCTCCAGTTTGCTGACAAGCCTGTGGCCACGAAGAAACTGACGAAGAGCTTCGGCTGGGAGACGCTAGACTCGTTTATGCAACATGACGTGCAGGAGTTTCTTAGAGTAAGTTCAGTAACTTGGAGTTTTCGCTACCAGAGCCGGCATTTTGGCGCGGTGAAATTTTTTTTGAGCGTTTTCTTTGCGAAAGGTCAAAGCTGAGAATGAATTCAAATCAGTCCCAGGTATCATTCCGAGGTACACATAAGTATTATTTTTAGTCAATTGTCAATTAAAATTAACGTTCACAGTTAGCATTTTTAAACGTTATGCGACATCACCATAGAGTTAATAACTCTATGGACATCACTGTACAAGTGCTTTTAAACGATATAAACATTCAATCAATTTGACTGGTAATTTTGTTTGGTAAATCACACTCGTTGTCGTTGTTTTAAACTCAAACGTACACAAGTCTATTAAATTTTACGCCTCTCGGCATGTCCAAATTGTGAAATTGAAAAATCAACAGCTACGAAGTATTTTAACGAATGCAATATAAAAATGTTTGCTTTTTTAAAATTTCAGATTTTCATCGTACAATTTTAAATATGAAACTGGTTATTTTTACGGCTTTGTTATCAAAGGATTTCGAGCAAACGTCATTTAAAATAAAAATCTATCTTTAAAACCCAGAACCCTATTTTAATTATTAAATTCTAAGCTTATCCTATAGAAAGAAATTCAGATCATTATCGCAATCAACAGGTACTCCTGGACAAGTTAGAGAACAAAATGAAAGGCACTGTGGTGGAAGGAACCGTTCCCAAGCTGTTCGAAGGCAAGATGACGTCATTCATCAAGTGCAAGAACGTGAACTGCACCAGCACTCGACTGGAAACCTTCTACGATATCCAGCTTAGCGTCAAGGGAAAGAACAACAGTGAGTCAATCCTCAAATTGCTTTTTTCTAATTACATAATAACGTTTGGGCCTTGTTAGGCTTGATTAATCCTGTAGCCTAAGTAAGTAAAATGGAATAGAACTAAATAAGAGTATGTATACAGGCTACAAGCCCTCAAAGTATTTATTTAAGTTTTTTCGCAATTTTGAAGAATTTTGAATGGCTTTAACTTATCATCGACATTACTTTATTGAAAAAAAAATGCTTTTGTTTTATTTACGGTCTTTGTCGAAAGTTGCCACTTCGTAGTCAGTCTTATTTATGAAAAGTAAAATAATAAACCTAACTCCTTTGTTTATAAAATAATCTACCGGCTGGCAACTTTGATTACTTTGGTATATTGCAAGTTACTGCGGCAGTAGAGTTTCGGACGAGCTTAGGAAGTATTAGGCCGTTCCATTGCGATTAGTTTCACCAACTTATTGCTGATTTATTGGGGAAAGTATTCAATTAATTCGAACTTGTATTGCCACGTTAAGAAATAGTAAGTTTCGGTATTAATAACAATAGTATTATCGTTACGTAATTCATATCTACTCTATTAAGATTTTTTTTATTTAAGACTGCAGCAATGACAATGTTTCATACAAATTATATCCGTTGTCTAGTACCTACCCAATTACCCATAGTACAAGCTTTGCTTAGTTTGGGGCTAGCGGCTATTTTTATGTTTAGTACCTAGTCAAATGTCTACCTTTTTATAAGTGCTCTACTTTAACTTCAAAGTTACACTTACATGCAAACTGAGACGCAAACTTTCTGCGAAGCAAAAGAAAATCTGTCGCACCTTTAAATGTACCTATACTTTGAGTCAGCATTTCGATCAACGCAAATGCCCAAGTTACCCGGCGTTACCTACCTACTTCGGACTCCCAAGACTAATTCAATGACTCTGACTGAAATTGGTCGAAAAGATATTATGTCGGGTGGAATCGACCAACGAAATTAAAGGGCATCCCAAAAATATTCCATAGAAACTTACGTCTCGTACGTAATGAAATCGGAAAGCATTCTGTATCACAGTTTTCTTTTAGGAAAGAATTATAAGTATTACTAGTACTTAAATTATGTCTGCATTAAACTGCACGTTAATGACCCCAATCTTGCTCTTAAGCTTCAACCACACCAACGCCATGCAACGCAATGACAGGTCGCGCAGACTGTCTTGGGTCGCACGACCTGTCATTGGCCTATGATCGCGCCGGTGGCAATCTGCACGCGTTGGTGTGGTTATGGCCTACCTCCTCCACTCTACTCCTCTTTTCCACAGTATACGAGTCGTTCAAAGACTACATAAGCACAGAGCTGTTGGACGGCGAGAACAAGTATGACGCCGGCGAGCATGGCCTTCAGGAGGCAGAGAAGGGCGTAAGATTCGACGAGTTTCCACCAGTACTGCATCTGCACCTCATGAGATTTCAGTACGATCCGCAGAGCGACGCCTCTATCAAGTTCAATGATAGGTGAGAGCGTAATAAATAATGACATGATGATCTCCCAATTTCACAAACGATGCTTGCTTAAGTGAAGCAGAAAGTCGAACGCACAGCGTTAAATAGAGCTCTGTGATTGGTTCGTATGTCACTATATTATGTGACCACGCGCACTGTGAAACCTTATGAGGTTACATTACTATGGTAATGTTTGTGAATACGGGCGGATGTCTAATACATAGATGCTTCTAAACTATTTTGGCCACCTTTAAAAATTTAAACTGTCAGAAGTCTGCAACTTTTAATGACTTCATGACAATAGCCGTCTCAAATTCAATGGTATCGGGGCGTGCGGAGAAAAGGCTAAGGGCCGGTTTCAATAGCCAGTTGAAATGTCAATTAATAATCTGCCCAATAACTATGTGCATGTGGATTGAGTGATCCTTGCTTCAATCTTAACAAAAATCGAGGAAGTTTTACTTAAAATATGTTAAAACATTGCGATGAAGTTAAAAAATTTGTTAAACCTAAGATAAAAATGTTATGGCCAATAAATAGGAGCACTCATACCGCACGCTTTAAGAAAACGTCAACATGTTTATTTCAGAAAATAAAGCCTTTCCACTTCTTTTCATAGTATTGAAAAATTGTTAAGAATATGTTAAAACTATTAACAAATTCAGAAATTCCTTGCACGTCCCGTTCCAAAGTTATGACGATTATTTAGGATCACTCACACCGCACACGGGCCGTATGAGTGCTCTTCAAAATAATGACTTTTTATTAATAAATACGTTTTATTTCTGTTGGGAAATGTGTGCAAACTGACGAGCGAATTTGTTAAAGAATAAGTGTGACAAAACTTAAAAGCTGAAGGAAGAAATTAACCTTTATTCTTTCCTCCAATATGCCGTGTGAGTGATCCTTACTTTTACCTCTATCTGCTCATATGTAGTTCGTAGGCAGACTGAGATAGTATCTAAAATTGTTAATTGTTTTTAACAATTATTTGGCATATATTTTGCTTTTATTAAGGTCATAATTTAAGAAATATCAGGCTTAGATGATTCCTAAAGGAAAATGTTGATTAGGGTAAGGTTTTAATTTTAGCAGAAGTAGCCACAATGCTACCCTGAGAGTACAGGGTTTATATATTCTACTAGTACAGAATAAAAGCTCTAGTAAAGTGAGCCCTCGGAACACACGCTAAAAACCAATTCCATGATAAATATCTCGCCCAACTCATTGTTTGATAAAAATAGTTTACAGCATTTTATGTACAAAATTTGCAGTTTAAAATTGTATTCAAATATTATTGCTATATAAAGTATTTAAAGAAATATCTTGCTTCTTAAATTCTCCGTAATGATTTTGTGTATGTTAACCACATTGTCGATTTTTTTAGGAAACTGTACGATTGCCTAAGAGGTATTTTGAGATTAATCCGAGTCTATTGATTTTATTTTAATGAAATACGACGTAAAAATAATTTTATTTAAATTACCTATGCATTGTGTGATACGGAATAGATTTAGAGCTGTGATACAACAAAATCGATTAATGCCGCGGTTCATTAATCAGTAGCAGTGAATCGTTCGTTCGTTTCAGCCAAAAGACGTCCGCTGCTGGTCAAAGGCCTCCCCCAAAGATTTCCACAATGGCAGGTCCAGTTGCCGCTCGCATCCAGGTACCTCCTGCGACCTTCACCAAATCGTCGGTCCTGCCACACTAAGTCTTCCGGCTCCTCGTCGCCACTCAAGTACTTTCCTGACCTAGCGGCCATCAGCTCTACGAGCTACGTAGCTACGAGCTACCGCCCAAGCTGCCACTTGATTTTAGCGATTCTGTCAGTCACTTTGGACTATGTCTATGTCATCGGACTATGTCAGTCACTTTGGTTCTCCTACGAATCTCCTCATTTCTGATTCGATCACATAGGGAAACTCCGAGCATAGCTCGCTCCATGGCCCTTTGGGTGACCTTGAGCCTTCATGAGGCCCATAGTAAACAACCACGTCTCAGATCCGTATACCATCACTGGCAACACACACTGGTCAGTCTTAAATAAATAAAATAATATAAAAAGTATTTATTTCAGATAACAGAGATCCATAAATGTTAGTAAAACTTAGGCTAATGTTAGTATCTAATTTCTACAACCGACCTCGTCCTGCTGAGCATGTGGCCGATCAGTGGACAATCCCCACTTTCGGATATCTCCTTCAGTACGCTGTGGCACAGTTCTTAAGACACTGCGGTATTTCGGACGTGAGAATATCGCGAAGCTTTTTCCTTTAGGAATCATCTAAGCCTGATATTTCTTAAATTATGACCTTAATAAAAGCAAAATATATGCCAAATAATTGTTAAAAACAATTAACAATTTTAGATACTATCTCAGTCTGCCTACGAACTACATATGAGCAGATAGAGGTAAAAGTAAGGATCACTCACACGGCATATTGGAGGAAAGAATAAAGGTTAATTTCTTCCTTCAGCTTTTAAGTTTTGTCACACTTATTCTTTAACAAATTCGCTCGTCAGTTTGCACACATTTCCCAACAGAAATAAAACGTATTTATTAATAAAAAGTCATTATTTTGAAGAGCACTCATACGGCCCGTGTGCGGTGTGAGTGATCCTAAATAATCGTCATAACTTTGGAACGGGACGTGCAAGGAATTTCTGAATTTGTTAATAGTTTTAACATATTCTTAACAATTTTTCAATACTATGAAAAGAAGTGGAAAGGCTTTATTTTCTGAAATAAACATGTTGACGTTTTCTTAAAGCGTGCGGTATGAGTGCTCCTATTTATTGGCCATAACATTTTTATCTTAGGTTTAACAAATTTTTAAACTTCATCGCAATGTTTTAACATATTTTAAGTAAAACTTCCTCGATTTTTGTTAAGATTGAAGCAAGGATCACTCAATCCACATGCACATCCAATAACTTTAACTGAGACTTTATCGATCTAATAGAGTTTTAAGTTTTCAAAGTTCAGTTAACATCCAGTTAGCTATCTGTAATCGACTATAATAATTAATTAAACGAACCGATGATGTTTTCATAGCATAACAAAGAATTACGTCATAGACTAAAAAAATAATACACAAAGGCCCACTTTAATCTGGCGGTCTATACTTAATCTCCAAGTATTTGATTCACCGTCTGAAGCCCACGTTCTGACGATCGCCCCCCTGAGACGCTAATTGCAGCGCGAGCGCTATACAATAATAATATAATCAAGTCGGTCTGTTGTGCTCAACGTTCCCGTAATCAAGCCTTGGATATTAACTGCCGCGGTACGGAGCTAGGTGTTCGTTTGCGGTAATAAAATGATGTATGCGTCTGTGAAATGATAAATGTGTTTGGCTTTTAATCTCATTTGCGTGTTACGATTGATGTTTGTAATTGAAGGGTCTTTTATGATATATCTGTATGGTTATTATTTCACATAAAATGACTCTCTTTTAAATGCTTTAAGTGTACTCAATGTCATTATTATTATTGGTCCAAGACCAAGCTTAAAGCTTTACCTTAGTATTTGTTTACAGTAATTATTTTTACTTATAAAGGGTTACATTAAACTAAGGCTGGTTTTAGAGTCACGCTGACCGTCAGCGCTGACAGCTGAAATGTATGAAACGTCGGCGCCGAGCGATCCGCGTTACTCAGGAACGTTCCCTTCAATTACATACATATTGATCTGTCAGCGCGATTCTAAAACCCGCCTAAATGTTATCTTTCTACACAGGTTCGAGTTCTACGAAGAAATAAACCTAGATCCGTACCTGCAAGAGATCCCATCTACTCCTGCGCACTACACGCTACACGCGGTGTTGGTACACTCGGGAGACAACCACGGCGGCCACTATGTAGTGTTCATCAACCCCAAAGGAGATGGCAAGGTAACCGCAACTCTATACGCTCAGCATTAGGGTACAATATAAGTGTTTTAGCGATCCAAAGTCACTGGTCAATACAGAAATGGTTTATTTTCATTAGTCGATATACAGAGTGCAAGATAACTTCTTATCAAAGTCAGTCTCTTAAAAAAAACTGACAGATAAAACGTGCGCTGAATAGTCTATCTATCATAAATACTGCGGTCGGTTCCAATCAACCAGCGAAAATTATCCCTCGAATGCAGGCCCTAAATGACATGCGTTACAAAATTCTCTTCAAATCGTATAACCAGTGAAAATGAGCCATTACATTAGGTATTGAATTGTCTATATCAATGTACTAGTGAAAATATATAGATGACCCACGCTGAACTGTCCCGCCAAACTCAATGACAGGGGGGCGCTACCATCGTTCAACTATATGGTTTCCAACATGGCAAAAATCTGAACCAGCGATCCGGTATTGACGGTGGCGCCCCACTGTCAATGTCATCGACAGGACAGTCCAGTATTTTGGAACTATATCTGACATCCAGGTATGATATGTGGTTTGTAGTTCGTACCAACGCATTATCGAATTCCGTGCCCGAAGCAATCTGATTATATGCGATAGATTTCAAGAATATATCATTTACAATACGATTTAATTTAATAACTCGATATGGAGAGTAAATTATTTTCCAGTTTATAAATTTGCTGAATTTTAATGCCCTTTAGTATTTACAGACTCAATAGGCGGCCATACATAAAAAAAAGAAATAGACAAATAATTACCTATTACAAAACAAAAAACACTCACCGCAGAATGTGTTGCGTATGCACGTAGATTACGTTACGTAGCATGTCGTAGCCTCATGAAGTGTTGCGTCATGTAGCGTTGCGTATCACCACGTAGCATTGCGTCGCGCACTTTTCTTCGAAGTACGAACGTCATGTAGCGTTGCGTAGCGTCATGTAGCGCTGCGTAGCATCATGTAGCATTGCGCACTTTTCTCCGAAGTACAAACGTCACGTAGCGTTGCGTAGCGTCATGTAGCATTGTTGCGGAGCGTCATGTAGCGTTGCGTCGCGTATTTTTTCGCCGAAATACAGTGATTTTTCACTGTTATTGAAACTACGTTAGGTGCGTTAACTTGTCCTTTGTGTGCAGTGGTGCAAGTTCGACGACGACGTGGTGTCCCGCTGCAGCAAGCAGGAGGCCATCGAGTACAACTACGGAGGGAAGGAGGACGCGCCGCACCTCGCGAGGCGCGCCACTAGCGCGTACATGCTAATTTACATACAGTAAGAACAGAATTACTTATTTATTTACAGGATGATTCATAGTAGCCAAATTCATTAATTTTGATGATTAATTTAATGAAATCTCGTTTATAATCTTGTAAGCGTAACTATAAATAATAATATTATTTAAATTAATATTCAAATGTGGTGCAACATTTAGCTCGAAACATTTGCCAAAAAGAAACTATTTTGTCTACAATGTGCAGCATTTGCATCTGTCTATTCTACATAAATACTCAAACCCGATTTGGTTGAATTTGCGTTAGTCTGGTTCATGTTAGAATCTTACTTCCCAGTCTATTGCCTTTTCAGAAAACTTATTAGGCGGCTGAAAGTTGCGAGCGTACCTTTTCCAATCGCAATACAGCTGCATTGAGTTCGAGGAGGCTTTCATGCAATATTACATATCCCCATAATATTATCTAATACCGGGAAACCTACTATGCTGTTTTTATTTACTTTTAGATCGCGAATACAATAATAAATAAAAAGAAATATAGTGCTCAGCAGTTTTATGGACTCAGCGATGTACACTACCTAAGCTTTCAATCCTACATAACATTTCTTGCGAGAAAGTGTACCTATGACGTGTTATAAAAGAATATTTCCCTGACTGATCTTCGAACATAAAACTACACTTTACTTTTATTTACTGCCAGAAAACGCAGATTTAAATCTCAAGCAAATCTAGACTCTAATCTAAATAAAGAAGATACCTTTCCCGGTGCACAGGACGTCGCAGCTCAAGTACGTCCTGCAGGACGTCAGCGAGAGCGACATCCCCAGCGACCTGTGCGAGCGCATCAACGAAGAGGTGCGATACGAGATGGTAAGGACATGTAAATATCAACTCCTGCACCACTTGGTTGGACCGCACGCTGTGACGCTTGGTTATTGGTGATAGGTGACGAGTGTAGTTCATAGCAAATTGAACAAGATTTTCTCGAGGCACCCGCTTAATTACACCGGCCATTTTTCTTTCTGACACTGGCGGAATCACTTCGTGACGCTCTATACGCGGTTCAGCGAGACTTGAAGTAGAGCGCGTTAATGACATTGATACCTACTGAGTGTCATACATTTATAAGCTGCACAGTGCACATGAGCTGCAGAGGCAATTATTTCATCTTCTCTATCTTATTAGACCGAATATTCTTCTCGAAACAGAGTGCCATACATAGGATGCTGTCATAATAAAGTAATTTCTTTACTCTATCTTTTTAGACCCCCGACTTTGTGCTCAACAAAATTCTGACATCTTTCCTGAGGCGATTAAACATTTTGTTCAAACCTAATGTTTCCCAAATAAATAAAGTGTTTAAAAAAGTCAGGCTCCGTCACAAAAAGTTGCCAGAGCCGAGCCGAAAATATACATGGAAATAATTTTAACTTTGGTAGTCACACACTTGGCCACAATAAAATTAGGTTTCATTATTTTAAGATTATGAAAATATTGAATCGCTATATTTATTTCCAAGGTTTTTTAGTCGGTTGCCATAATGAGAATTAGAACCCTAATGCGCCTAAAGGTTCTTACCCACTCAATTCCAACACTTCGATATAAGCCAACTAGCAAACACATCGACAGTGATATCTATGCCACTCGAATACTTTGAACACCACCCAGCATCATACCAAGCGTCACAGCTCCGGTCAAACTGTACTACGGTTTATTTTTCCTTTTTGTACCGCATACCCAACGCCCTGTTACGTATTTCAGGCGGCAGAAAAATAAGGTGCAGGAAATATAAGTCTGACACGTCAGTCAGTTCAGCGAAGTACTACGCACGGATATTCAGCGCACTAAAACAGTTCTTCACTTTGCAGGCCCTAGCCGGCTCTAAGTATAAAGGAAGATAACTAAGTCTAACAACACTCGAAGCACGCAGTTTTTATACAGTTATACAATTATTTTGAAATAAAACTTTTGCCGATGGCGCTAATTTAATAAATTCGTCAGGTAGGTTAATAAGCCATATCAATGCATTATTTTTTCTTTGTGTATATTTTGTTGTAATTATTTATGTACCGTAATAAAATTTGTTGCGAATTAATACACTGTTGTGTTTTAATTAAGTTAGGTACTACGGCTGCTTATGGTCTATGTTAATTATTTAAAATTATTCACGATTCAGGTAGCTTGATTACGAACTTAATACTGTGTCGCGTTAAATAATGGACCCTATCCTAAATCCTGTTTTATTCGCAGGTCAGATACTAAAACATATCTTCGTGAACGTCAGAATGGCGGGTGTATGGTCACAGAATTGAATAATATAAATATGAATTTTTAATACCTGAGATGTACCTTGGTGTACCTTTAGTTATTAATTTTGTACCTCCCTAAAACGGGAACAATTACAATTACAAAATGAGCCGCCAACCTGATATCAGGTTGGCGGGTGTATGCTGAAATTGGACGAAACAGGTAAGTTATGGTTTTCTTATATTTATCATTATTTAGTACCTCAGATGTACCTCAGAAATATATTATTATAAACCAAATANGCTAAATCTATAAGTATACGAAACCTTCGTTTTCCACAGTGGCCTCTCGAAGGGAACGCACATCTTCTTCTTTATCTTCTCATCTTCTTCTATTTCTCTTCTTTGTTTCTTCCTCTTCTTCTTCGACTCTTCATCTTCTCACGTTCTTCTTCTTATTTGTTTGCCTTATATCTTTTTATTTGTTCGTCTTATTTCTTCTTATTTTATAAATAAGAGAAACAGAAGAAGGACAGGAGAGGAAAAAAAGAAGAGAATAAAATTTGAAGAAGAGGAAGACGATGTCTCGATTATTAGTTCCGAATGTTGCCACATTGGATAACCTTATTTATGACATTTACAGGAGGGCGCTACTATCAATACTAACTTTTTGATTTTAGCAAATTAATGGCGTTGGCAAATGCAAAAGTGTGCGTGCCATAAAACACAGACTTTAAAAATACTACGGTATGTATTATCTGTGTCGGTATCAACTTTCTAACTTCTTATAAAAAATGGTGGCCATCAAAAAAAAGGTGGACATCAAATTTTTCGTATCGATTTTCTCCTTAATTGTTCGTCGCATTTGGTTCATATTCATTATTTGTGAGGTACATCTCAGGTACTAAATAATGATAAATATTAGAAAACCATAACTTACCTGTTTCGTCCAATTTCAGCATACACCCGCCAACCTGATATCAGGTTGGCGGCTCATTTTGCAATCGTAATTGCTCCCATCTTAGAGAAGTACAAAATAAATAACTAAGGGTACACCAAGGTACACCTCAGGTATTAATTAATCGTATTTATTTTGTTAATTTCTATGATCATACACCCGCCATTCTGACGTTCACATATCTTCGTTCTCATTATTCCTTCGGTCGTTGCATTGTTATTTTCGCGCAAACAAAGGAATCGCAGTAACCGACCAAAAAGACTGAATTTATGACGTAAAACAACAGCATTTCCGCAATGAACAACAGCGACATGAATCTGTAAAAATATTCAACATGCACTGGTCTTGTGAGTCTCCCTCCAGTCTCCGTTCACTAATGAGATCTAGTCCCGTAGTCCCCCCACTAAAAGTAAACGTTGTGCATATCCACCAATGGGCGAATATGTGCCCACCAAAACGTTTTCAAGTTTTCATGGTTTTATTTCATAGTTTCCGAGAAATATTTGTTTCTGTGGAAAATTTCCCTTCAAACTCACGCACGGTACCCCTGACGATATCGGCAGCGAAAGGGCTCCGTAACTTAACGGAACCCAGAACCAATAAAGCGCCATATAGTGCCCTGAAAACTTTCCCTATCTATGCACACATTTCTAGATGCCTCACTACGGCACTACCGCTGCAAATTAAATAATCTCTCGCGGATGCACTTCTCGGTAACTGGTAGACACTGATGCGATGCTTGCGAGGCGGCGCGCCAACAACCGGGCAAATCAAGTTAATGCGGATATGAAACGCCGTGTTTAGTAAAACCTATAAACCTACTGTAAAGGCGTTAGTGGTAGAGATAATTATTACGGAAGCAGATAAGCTACTAATGGGACAAGCTGTTGCAACGATATGGTAGATCTTGTTTTGTTCCACATTGCAAATTAAAACTTTCCCGTGTTTCGTGATTTGAGCTTGGCCCATTTATTGTCCTGAAGCAGTGGTAGGGTTAATACAGGGACGTGTAAGTGATTTTTAAAATTTAAAAATCTTATATTTAATATAAGATTTTAAACTTTCGCGTTCCATTTCAAATAAAATTGTAAGACACGGGTCTTAACGCGGTGTTATTTTAGGTGCTTTTTAAAAGTCTACTTGCATAAATAAATGAGATTTTATGTGTTAGGTACTTTTTAAAGTTTTTCACTATCCATTACATTCCCAAACTTACTGGTGATTGTAGTTTATCAGTTTTATTTTGCACTAGTATCCAATCTATTATTTTATGAATAGTTTGCTATACGACGTTATGTATTACTTCGCACGGTATTCGATGATAGACATTTTTATTCGGCCACGTCGAGGCGGTGGACGCGACGCTAATTTATCGCCGAGATTTATGGCGACGCTCCGGGAGAGTTTTTAAACACTCGAATAACTAACAAGAACACGCGAGTAAAAGAAAATACGGTATAATGGAGAATGTCCTTCGCTAACTAGCTTTACTTCTTATTGGATAACAAGTGAATAATATTATTGTTGACTCCGTTTGCCCACCTCACTAGTGGGACTACTCATTTCAGACTGTATTTTGCCTTGGAAATGTTTTGGGTAACCCTAGAGGTGCTCTATCTAAAAAAAAATCCCCCTTCGTATTTGTACATTTACCACCTTATCAGCAAAACAACACAACATATTTGCTTACTACACTATACTGGGTATTACCACAATGGTGCGAAATATTAAATAATCCAAATAGCAACATAAAAGCACCCACATTATGCCTACGCAGCGTCAATTAACTTTTTAGTGGCTATAAACAATATTTGCGTTCCGACTTAGGCTAAGAACTCACGGCGCGATTTTCACCCGCGCCCGCGGCGGTTGTGGAATTGCAGTTTTATTTCAAAACTCATTATTCTACGAACTCACGGCACGATTTTAAATTGCGCCGCGTGCCAAGTCACTGTGGTCACTGGTACAAAATGGTCGCCCGATCGGTTTTCGCGCGGGCGATAACCGCCGAGCGGGACCCGATTACAACTGCGCCCGCTGCAGGCAAAAACCACGTCATGAGTTTGTGCATTAGTTTTTACATAAGTATCTGCATTCTACAGAAGCTGTGGGCCCGCAACCGCCGCGGGCGCGGGTGAAAATCGCGCCATGAGTTCTAACTTCTTAGCCTTAATCAAGCAAATGGGGGTAAATAAATTACACCAGTAAATAACGGAATTGTCTCGGCTATCAAAGTACAAGAACGAATATATTTCCCGATCGGCTTTGTCCTAGAACCGGCGCGCATCAATCACGCTGACGGATGGACAACGGAAATAATTATACCGCAATTTCCTATTCTATCACTTCAATTAATATTATTCACTTCGATGATTAATATTCCAAGTTACCGCAATATTTGTTATTTAGATGACTTTTATTATTTCGTGTTCCCATATTTCGCGTGCTTCTAGAGCTTATAGAAACTTGTGCTAGTGGCGGTAAAGTTTTGCTAGTAACGACTCATCATATTTAATTACCTACTACAGGTGCTTAGATTTATGGCTCTTGGTTTATAGTTGAGTGATGAAATTCAAATAATGAGAGGCAGAGAACTGGAGTAGGCTTGCGAGTTTGAAATGCAGGCCGTCAAAGACGGCAAGTTCACAATTGCAACTATTAAAGAGTACTTATGAGGTTAGCGGGCCTTTTTAGCGTCTCTAACTACAACACTGGGTTTGGAAAAATCATTTTCTAGTAAAATATCGATTCCTACGATTTAAAAACCTCTTAAAGTCAAATTTAATGATGAAAATATTCACATTTATTTATGGGAACCTCTACCTTTAAGTCTTTAAGAACTAGGCTCCCATCGGAAGTGCTATTTTTTTTTGTTTGACTGTTCTCGCCGTGCTACAATGACGGCAGATCTTCGCTAATTAATCCAGACTCCACTATTAATTAGGCGAGTTTTTCTTCGTCACGGCGCGGATTAAACTGACGACTCCCTTAATTGCTTGCTTGGAACTTAACCGTTTTTCATTTGAAGAGCGCGTGCAGTTGGCTTTTACATGAGTGTTTTTATTTACTAAAACTAAATAGGCAATCTGCTATTTACCACGTGGTTGGGTTTTTAAGCTGTACCTAGATCCTGGCGACACAGGAGTTGCAGCGGTGGGAACGAGAGGTGGGAATAGTCCCCCTATTTGCCACGTTATCCATTTTAAGATATTGTGTTTCTATATTTTTACAAGGAAAACCGAACAAAAACAAACAAACAACCACAGAGACCCGGAAATGAGATTAAAGTGATCCATCAGTGTTGCAGGGACTCTCCCTTAAGAAATTATATTAGATGCGAGCGAGAAATATCCCAATAATTTATCATGGTACTTTTTTCTTGTTTTAATTCAAACAACTTAAAATCCGCCTGACTAATCTTTAAAATACCTCAACTTCGACTGCTTTTTACTAACTTGTTAGTAAAATCTGAAGAAATAAACCAATTTAATAATTTCAAAAATATATTAGTAGGACCAATTATAACCTAATAAATTACCGAAATCCGAAAGGTATTAAGCGTCCTGGTGGCATCTATTCATGCAGTAGGTTGCAGAGTCGAATCTGTTCTGGTTGCCACCACAGCCCCCGTAAATAAACCTCTTGCAGGTCGCATCGTTCACGTCGTAGTAGAACCTTGAAAATTAATTTTCATAATCAGATATTGATGATTAAATTTTGAATGGGAGACGATCCAGTCGTATCCGAGAATCATCAGTTAAGCAATGCAAATCTCGTGATTTCTATCTTTTCGCCAGTCTAACAATAATCATGATCTCTAATAATTGAATGACGTCGGAAATTCGGAATAATCGGCGATGTGCAAAAACCAGAAGTTCAATTCTGCTATGCGTCTCTTTTACTCAAATCGGCATTTAAGTCAAGTCAAGTGAGAATTGAGATAGACTGATGATGCAGTATATTGAAATGAATATAGCGGTCTGGGGCAGCGTTCCGATAGTTCCGGAGCCCCGAGCCATCGATAGATTCACTATCGATACTGCTATCGAGTATCGCTATAGTATCGCTAGGGAATTTTGAACAATACTACTAATAACGACAATACCTACTATATGTAGCTAGTATTGCAAAAACTATAGACTAATAGTATCGATTACTTTTGAAATGCTGCTATTAGAAATGACAATACTATCGACAATATTGCACGTAAAACTCGATAGTATCGACAGTATTGCCGCTATCAATAGTGTTTCCCAAAATTTCCTATCGTACCGATATACTACTGCACATAGCGATATCGATAGCCTATAGATAAGCAACACTAGTCCGGGGTGTGAAAGGCCCGTGTGCGAAGGTGACGCATCGGCCTGCTAACCCGCGCGGTTGCGGTTAACCTAATGGATTTCGGCTGTTGGGAGGCGGTAGATCATTGATAACCAATCCGACGCATTATTTGCGTGTTCCAAAATAGGCAACGAATTACGGGTTTTGGCTGTCATGGCGAATGGTATCTGATTGAAATTAAAAATCGATACAAGTGACGTTATTATGTAGATTGTAGACGGTCTGGCAAATGCTTGATGCTGATGAAAATTATGAGATTTTCCGGTCGGATCCTCTTAGGCGTTAGGTGGTCCCTTAACTAGTGTCTTAATTCCTGTCTGAACCACTATAAGCATTGACATTTCAGTCTGATCCCCTTACTCTACCCTCTCTGACTCATACTCTCCACACGGTCAGAACAGAATAAAAAATATTATAAAACTAGCGGCCGCCCGCGACTTCGTACGCGTGGATCTCGTTTTACCCCCCCTTCATCTATCTTACGCGGTTCAGATTTTTTCATACAATTTTTTTTCCCCGCTAACTCCCGTTCCCGTGGGAATTTTGCAATATCTTGTTGTAACTAAGCTTTAAGTTTACTAAGGTACCTGCATGCCAAATTTCAAGCGTCTAACTTAAGCGGTTTGGATTTTTCATACAAAAGGATTTTCCCGCTAATTCCCGTTCCCGTGGGAATTCCTAAGTATCCTATAACCTGCCCAGGAGTATGAAGAATAATTCTACCAAGTTTCGTTAAAATCCGTCGAGTAGTTTTTGTTTCTATAAGGAACATACAGACAGACAGACAGACAGACAGACAGACAGACAAAAATTTTACTGATTGCATTTTTGGCATCAGTATCGATCACTAATCACCCCCTGATAGTTATTTTGTAAATATATTTCATGTACAGAATTGACCTCTCTACAGATTTATTATAAGTATAGATAAAACTGTACTCCCAGGGTAACAGGTAGGGGTATCCGACCAAAGGTACACTCAATTGAAACTAATGCCCGTTTTCATCATCAACTCCTATTTTTTAAGTGACCCCTATGAAAACAAAATGCTTGTTAAGTGTTACCATAGCATACTTAACAAATAGGAATTGATGGTGAAAACGGGCATAAGAAATGAACCCACAAAGATATGAATTAAACTTACTTGAAGTACATAGCCATGCACAGCCCAGCGTTTGGTTGTAGAGAACAGAAAGATGGATTCGTCGTATCTTTGATCGACATGAAGGCTGCACCTGAGATGTAAAAATATATTTATACATTTGCCTACTTCTAAATAAAAATGCTCTAAATAAGTAAGTATAAACAGCAGTTAAAGACTTTAGTAGTAGTGAAGACATAGTCATACCAACCTTTGCAATATCTTTCGCAATCTGTCACAGTGGCAAAATTGTTTTTGTTCCCATTGCATCCTGTGTAGGTGAATGTCACGCACTGGTCAATCTGTGCATCGTAATAAAACCTACAGAAACAAAATATTGCATTATCAAGTCACACGACAAACATTTCTAATAATACCAAAAAAAACAAATAATCTTTACCTAATCATACTTTGAGAACAGTTGCCCATCTTCGGCTGAAGTTGGCACCAATAATCCCAGTTCCAAATATCTATGCGAGCTGAAATTATTTATAGCCTAATTAAGCATTATGGTAGATATCATTTTTATCGCTCTTTCGTCTCTGAATATGACGTATCTTCTGTGTAGACTATTACAGCCATCTGCAACTTCATGAGCCGCCATACGTCTAACATACCGAGTAGCTCACGTATGATATTAACTAGACTACTCCCTGAATATTAATCAATCACCTTTCCCTAAATCTAACCTAGCCTAGCTGCAAATTAAAGAAAAAGGTCACTAACTTACTATACTTTCACATAAATACATACATACAGATCTGCGAGCCTAGTGCAATAACTACTGCTGGTCCTTGTATTGTACTTAGTTTTTCATGAAAATAAATATTTTATTTATTTATTATTATTTACATAAACCAAATGAAACCACCTACTTCTTCTAAGTTCCTGTGCTCTCAGCCGAAAGAGGTCCAGAGGAGAGTGACTGGTCTCCTCCACATTCTGGTCTATTTGTATCCTTCTGTGAATCAACGTTGGCTTTGGGGTGGTCTCATCTTTGACCACCGCAGTCGTCAGCGTAACATCCTCGTAACCACTCACACTCACACAAACCACGAACAATAGAACAAAATCCAATCCCTTTTTCATTTCAAAAACACAAAATGTCCCGTAAATATTCGCGGCCGTTATACTGACCGCAATAAACGATAAAAACAAAGGTGAACGAAATTTATATTGCCATAAAAAATATTATCGCGTATGCAAACATGTCCTAGGGATATTGTACTGGCGGTGTATAAAACAAAATACAGATTTGTTGTCCGTATGTTTAGTCTTTTAGATTGATATAAACAATACATAAATAAATACCATTGTTCGAGATTTTACCTTTTGAAATGTTTGCGGTTTGGTTAATGTCTGTATTTCCTAAACTTTACAGCTATAAAATGTTGAAATAAGTTCTCTGGTGTTTTCTAAACATTCACAGTGAAATAAATTAACTTCAAACAAAATATGGGTTTTCACAATTTATCTAATAAATTCATCGCAGAAACAGTATCAGTAGATACCCCACTGTACGAACATGTTTTGTATTGACACTGATTGTAATTGATGTCAAGATCAATGAACAAGGTGCACACTCCAATGTGACGTAATTAATTTGTATCTATTGCATGTTAAGCATGCATAATGATCAGCTGGATTGGGACGCTATACCTACTATACTTATTTCAATCAATACCTTGTATCACTCGTAATAATTTATCTATCAATCACCTAGGTATTTGATTATTACGGACAAAATCTTATTAGTGTTCTTCCTTTCGGTCTTAAAATTAACATACCTACTTTAAATATTCCGTGATCATATAAATAAATCAGACGTACCTAAACTGGATACAACGCCGGACCAAGCCTAAAATTGGGAGCACTAATTAGTGGTTTTTAGCGGAACTGCCTGGAACAAGGAACGCGGCGAACTGTAACGTTCCTAGATGTTTTGTCCGGAGTTTTATTATTCCTAGGCGTGTCGTTATAAGGAAGAGATTATCGAATAAATTAGATATTTCAGGTCTTCAGACATCGATTACTTGATTTCCCTGACTCCCGTCAAGCTTCGTTTAACTCCACAAAGCAAACTGTATTCCCACAATTACTGCAGTGGTACGAAACGCGTAAATGATTTCGAAGCACAATACATCGTTTGGTGCAAGCAGATGTTTGCAGATCTAATGGCGATTTCAATTTGCATACAAATTCCTGGTTCGCATAGCCGACGCGAGCGGGATGTTGGACGCGCCGGGCACTAGAAAGCAACAACACAGTGCAGATTCCATCTCGCAGTAAACCCAATCGCTATCAAGCGCGTGAAAATCAAGAGGAATTATAGTGAGAACGGGTTTGATTCAGTGAGACCAATACAGCTCCAACGCAGTGCGAGGCAGTGAAATATGAAATATGGGCTCTACAGTTTTACCTTTCTAAAGAACTTTAGAAACATGAAAAGTCGCCTATTTCGATCCACCTTACGCTCTATCATAAAATAATGAGGGTAGTTAAAACTCATATGCGTCATGATATCCCATGTAAAATTATGAAAATAGGTGGTATAACCCTTGGGAACCGATGCGATAAGTTATCGCGCCGGCCTCACCGCTTTCTGTGTGACGTTCCTTGTTCAGATTTGCTGACCGTAACACTGCGGACGTAATCATAATAGAGCAGACACGAGCGGGCATTCTGCGCTATCCTATTCTGTAGCGATAGACGGATAGGCACCGAATCGGATTACCGCTAACGACTCGCCATTCTGTGCCCGGGCCGCATTCCCGGGCGAGAGAGGCACTGATCAACTGCGGTGCTAAGGCTGCGAACACAATATAAACTATATGCACTGCTCGCTGATGCAGCCATCATTTGGGCAATGGGAACTCGGGGTAGATAGAAAAGGCCGAGTCGGTTCACAACGGGATAATGATCTTGTACAATGCTCTGCCTCAACTTTCGGTCTGCTATTGTCTCAAATATCCAGCATAGAGTTCCAGGGAACCATGAAATCATTACCTACCTAGACATAGACTTGAACAGTCAATTATAACTGTTATATTAGGTACACCTAGACAAGCACAAACGATGCACTGTGGTTGCCCGAACCGAAACAGATTACCAAGCTCTAACGTTTTGTGCATTGCCTGCATAACGAATACGTGCAAATGCAAAACAATCGAAGCTACGAGACTTTATACGCACTATAATTTATCCCCTTTCTCTGTCTTAAAGGCACCTACATTTTCTATTTTCCAGGCATTACCACGGTCTTTATCTTCTTTTACTACGACCATCGAATGATCGCATCAGTATTCCATGAATTGAAGACGTAAAATAAGAATATCTAGTATTTTAAACTACAGGGATAGATCACGTTTTTAGAAACCATTTATATCGAGTTTACCGTGTCAACGTACACGCCAAAAGTTAGGTATAGTTCATTTGTGTTGGCACTGGCTGGACAGAGCTTAGCCTTTACGATTCAGGGTTGCGTGGATGAATGGTAGAACAAACTGTTTGGCATCAGTTAGAGTGCCTACGCCGAGGGCAAAGGGCAGTATGAATGAAGACAAAACTAAATGAAGGACCAAAAAAGTTATGGCACAACATAATAGGTACGATACTATAGGATTGTACAGAGATTACTCTGCAAATGCAAGCCAAAATAACCATAAAATATCCTCAATTCCAGTCACATTCTAATTACTACCTTTTCACGCTAAAAAGAAGAAGCTGCTCTTTAATCGCCAACGCCAGATTAACCGGCAAGACAGATGATAACAAATTCCGGAACTGCGATAGCTCTTCTCAAAGCTTTTTAAAATGTAGGTACAATTGCAGTTTGAGAATTAATTGGCATAGTTTTTCATCCCGTCCGGTCTCCGGGAGCGGGGGCGGATTAAGGGGGATCCGCCGGCGACGGCAATAATTGATTGTCATTATGGTTATGACTACAAAGCCAATTGCTTCTCTGGATTATTTAAGTGCTAACATTAGTATTAAGAGCGCTCGACTGAACTTGAATCGAGGATAGCGGGGATCTGCACATTAACATTACTATGGTGTTCAAGTCAAGATTGCGTATTTTTCAGAGAAGATTTTTAAAGCCGTTTGCAATTTGTTTTAGGCGAAGGATACTTTTTTCAAGGTTAGTGTAACCTATTCGTGCACACAGAAAAAATGCAGGAGACAATTGTCCATAACTTACAGAGGCCAGAGATAACTTTTGCAACGGTTGGCTAATGTGGGATGGCACTTGTGAAAATTTTTTACAGGAGCAATATTTCATTAATGTAGTTAATTTTTTTAACTAAAAATTGGGGACAGTCCTTTCTTTAGATACCTATCTGGATCGGGTCAAACAAAAGCGTTAGGTCGAATTAACAACGCAAGGCGTTTTCAATTTCATCAATGGAATTTCTCATGAATCATCATAAATCGCAATTTACATCACAAAGAAGACCGCGGGGAAACTAAAGCAAAAAACGTGCGAAAGGCGGCGCGAAATTCAATCATTTCGAAAGCTCAGCAAGATTTGTAGCCGCATTACGGCGGAGGTTTTAAATCAAATTGCGGCATTGTTAACGCGTTTAACTGCACTCACAGGCGCGATAGCGATTTGAATGTAGAGATGGCATCTGCCGTCTCTTGCCTTCCTTATCTGATTACGAACAGATTTTCCACCTGAGATTTCAGTTATGATTATTTTACTAACAGATTACCAATACAAAGTGGTCCAAAAGTGACGTGTGGATGTGATATCCCATGCATTATTCTTAGAAGATATGATTTTTTTAAGTTGCTCAGGCAGAAAATTCACCTAAGGTTACGGACGGATACTCGCGACACCTCTACTCGGGCGATGACGGAACGCCGCGGAGGTTTTAGTGGGTATACCCCGTCCTTTTCAGGACGGAGCAGGAATCCCACACACCACCCTGTCCCCCGACAGTGGTGACGGTGCGCAAAGCATTTCCTCCGCGACAAAAAAAATTACAAAATACACATTTTAAAAACAGAACTTCTGAACTGCTAAAAAATCGCTGAAGATACATGAAGTCGGTATTTTCGGATACTAGGTGTCGAAGAATCTTAAAATGTTTAATGTTTTTAACTTATTATTATTTCATAGACTTTAGTATACAAATCTAGTGTACTAACCTTCTCTAGAGCAGTCAATCTCACGGATTCACGGAGCACTTTACGTTCACCGTCGTCTTAGCACATTGTTGATATTCAGATTTTCTTCATCCCTGTTGTAGAGAAAAATAAGTTAATCAAATCGAACTCTATTGAATAAATATTTGTATAGAATTGAGTAAATGATACTTACACTGTAATTCCTTAGGTAACTGTATCATGTGTTTAAATGAATGTATTATGGTGTCAAGTGTTCTTTGGCTTTTACTACTAGAGGTTACTTCCTAACAGATTTTCGCATTTTCAGTTCATTGCATCTCTTCACTCATAGCAAGATCTTCACAATGTTTATCATACGAAAAGGATCAGTGTCTGTAAATTGTGTGTGTGCATACCAAAAAATTTGAACTGTCAAAGTGTCTATGTAAGATCAATATGACGTCACTCGCCAGTAACATATCCTTATGTAGACGATGATGACGCTTAGGTTCTCATTACAACGGTAGACATGGACTTTATAGTAGTTGCCAATATTTACGCTAAAACATGTCACATGATAGTTCCACACACACTAACTTTAATTCTTCTGCTTTACATAATAACTGATACTATTAACCAAAGTAAGGTTCCCCAAACATTTCTGATGATACTGAAACTGTCTTGATCTTTTTTGTAAGTAGTATCTTTTTTATGTTTGGTCCAATGGTTCCTAGCCTACATTCCGCTTCAAAATCATCCGTGAGGGGAACGCCTTGCACAAAATAAAGCAAATTAAACAAATATAGGATTATATTCAGTGAAACATTCAAATCCAACATAACAAACATTGGAGCACATTCCAATAGTTTGTACAAGCAGCGTACACTCGGCCGCGCGAGATATTCAACTAATACACTATAATCCCATTTGTCATAATTATTTCGGCATGTAATCTAAGCCACTATGTTCCTATGATCGTCTCAAATACCGCAAACCTTGTTAATGAAATATCGCAACCAACACACATTGTTAAAATAAAAGTAAATCTGCGTTTAAACGATTACCTCAAAGCAACACGCGAGTGACTTCATATCCGACTCCGATGCACAATGTGAATAAGTTACCATGTAAAATTGAAAAAACTAAAAAGGGTATAAATTAAATTAAGTATTACCATTTCAGATTACTAAAATGTCTTAAAACGTCTAAGGCATCTTTACGAAAACTTATTGTATTTTTTTTCTTAATTTATTACATCATATATATACATAATTTCGACATAATCATTTATTAATAACGTAACATTTCTCTGGCAGGTCAAGTAAAAAATTAAATAGTAACATATACATGTTTGGATGTAGACAGGGCTTTCAGCCAGAATTAACAATACGGTGCTAGTGAATTACAACTATTATGTGCAGTTAACCTAGTGTACACTCGAGGCCGCGGATCAACACTGCTCTCTTCCACAATTTTATCGACAAAACTCGCACAATTGATCGACATAATTGAATCAGCAACTTCATAATCGCCTCAAATATACACTCGTGTTTTGGTAATTCGACAATCATTGAAACATTTTATTCTATAACTATATACTTCAATAATTTATATAAAATGGATTACACAGAGAATTTGATTTTAGAATATTCGTTAAGTAAAGGCAAGAGCACACAGTTACGATCCTGCGGCATTTATTGCTTTGACCGTCGCGCTGTCGTAATCAGAGATAAAGGTGCGAGTTCGAATCCGACGGCAGACGGCATAAGTTCAAAATCCAAGTACAATTTGGTTGTGCACACAACTGACCACTTTAACGTGTCAGCAATTTTTTTTATCTAGAAAATGTGAAATGATTGAAATTCTATCCAATACAGAGAGCAGAAATAACAGGAGTGGAACTGACAGGCAATCCCCTCTAGCAATGTAAGTAGACCAGTGGTTCACTCAGTTTATAAAAACTAGTTGCAGCGCCACCAATGACATATTCCAAATGTCACTATTGAAGAGTAACGTGCTGCGATAAAAATGGTGAATTGCAGTGTTTTTAATTGTAAGAAGAGATCTGAAACATCAAATCTTGAAAAGGACAACATTACATTCCATCGGTAAATATTATTTTATTTATTTCACATTAATTAATACACTAAATTTGCAAAAAACTAAATTTCTAGAAGTGTTGCCACTGGAATGACTGGAAAGCAAAAATTCCTAATTGTGTAATATTTTAAGGATAGTGTACTTATAACAATATAATCGAAATTCTATGCAAACAATTTGATACTGCCAATAGGTGTTCTCTTTTATGATATTTGTTAGTATTAATACATTATTAATAATCACTGATAAATGTAAATTCATTTATTACTTTTACCTCGACTGTCGGGAATTATTCATAATAACCGGCGATTATTAATAATTTTCAATTTATCACATTTACCCTGACATAATAAACCTTTGGTGGAAACCGGGCCTAAGGCTGATAGTCGATCCCCTTTGCCAAGGGAGTGTGGCCGTGGGTCATGTTTGGTATATAAGAATATTAGGTACCTATTTCATGGGTAGTGTAGGGTAATGGTGGTAGGGTTAATACTGGGACGTGTAAAAGTGCTTTTTAAGAGCCTATATAAATGACTTTTTAGTTTTTTTCATATAACTCTTAACTTTCACAATTCGTATTCGTGCTAGGGAAGAAATGCCAAACTTTTGCGTATTTTCCTTTAAATAGAGATCTGAAATGTTGAATCTCCCATAGGATAATAAATTAATTCATATCATTTTTTTAAACGAGCCATAGACTATGAACCATAGAGCAATGATTCTCATCGACAAAAATATCGATAGTGTCTCAGCGCCATCAGCTGTTACACAAATGTCATTACCTCGTCCCCCTCAGGAAATGGCGAAATTTTTTTGTATGGAAATAAACGCGCGCTGCTACTCCTGTTATTTCTGCTCTCTGATCCAATACGTATCCCATTAGAACACATTTAGTTCCACCATAAAATGTTGTGTAAATAACTGACACGAAAATACAAATTAAGTTTAAATTCAAGCGCGACATCGCAGTTGAAAAAATACGTCGCTACGATCATGGTTTGGTTGCCGTCTGCCGTCGGCTCAACTCTAAGCCCGTATTACGAAACCACACTCAAGTTTTACACCGTCGAGCATTATGAGTTAAACAATGAAGAATGTTCACTAATTTTGTTTTTTAGCTTTCTGTATTCTCTGTTAAAAATAAAAAATACACGTGAAAGAATTATTTCGATACGTCAATTAGTTTCCAAGATATTGAATTTTAAAAGTGCGGGCGGCGGCCGGCCCGCCATTTTATGCGCGTGACGTCATATTACAACGACTGGCTCATATTTGTATGGGTGGAATCTTGCAAACTGAATTAAGACCCACTTCCAGGCAACCGATTAAGCTGAAATTTCGCAAACACATGTGATTTGGATGACCATGCAATATTATGATGACATGGAGCTGATCTGATGATGGAGCTGGAAGGTGGCCATAGGAACTCTATAATAAAACGACATAAATGCATCGAGTTTGGGCTCGTTCGTTTTGTATTGATGAGTATTTTAATTCTATATAGTAATCGGGGTCTAATGATGGAGCTGGAAGGTAATTCGCAATAAAACGACACAATCGCATCAAGTTTGGGTTTGGTTCAATTTTAATTTCTGTGATGGGTCTGGGTGTTAATATGTATAATAAGTTTGTATTTACAAAAAAAAATTATTTAAGTATGTTTATATCCGTTTTCTAGTGAGCGGACGCTGTGAATGTACGTCACACGGGGTCACGTGACCGTCGGCGGGACTCAATATTTAAGCGAACTTTGAATGCCTATAAAATCATAACTACTGGGTATTTTTGAATGAAATAAAAACTAATGTATTTGTAAATGTAAAAGCTTAACTGTAACATAGGTTTCAAGTGATTTTGCATACCTAGTAACATTCTCAATTGAAATACAATCTCGAATACGTGCTTGAGTTTGAGTGACGTTTTTTAATACGGGTACAAATGTAACAAGCGCAGTCTACATGATCTGTACTAAAGATACGAATATGTGTAGTAGCTATGTACAAGCGTCACTAATATTTACTATCACAATTACAATATAACTTCAAGGAAACTTGATGCGTAATGTAAGAGTGGTACAAACGATTGTGTGCGAGAACAATGTATAGTGACAACATCGAAAGTATGAAACGTGCAAGATAGTACGAAGCTCACTAGCGACAATTTTTCAAAGAAACATTTTACTGAATATTAAATTACATGACACCCTATTTTGGCCTCTCAATCTTCCAACTTTCTATATTTTATTATACCTTCTTGGGTCTTGATACCATAGCTAGATCTTAAAATCCAATTTCGTATTTCATAAGCAGAATAAACATTTCCGTATTGTCTCTATTCATTATGTATCAAGTTTCATATTTTATAAAACATGTAAAACTTATAAAACATCAAACTTACTAAAAAATTTGATGTGTAAGATTGATTCAACGATACTTTTAGATAACGTGCAGAGGAACTACGATATATGAACTTGCAATTTTATGTAATATCGTCATATTAGAAATTGACAATCCAATTTTCCGTGCAAGTCTTAATTTTATTGCGATCAATTCATAGTAACAATCAATCTATAAAATTATATCTCTTGAGCGTATTGTATCGCACTTAGTTTTAATTTCAATTTATTTGTTATCGTTTTAATCTAAACTTGTTTCCCTCGCTGTGCCAACCGCGTCATCTATAGCATCGTATAGGCCACATACACCAGCAAGCGACAACACAGGCACATTCGACTATATAAAATACTCTTAAACACAGTCATTACAATATATTTCTCATCGTACAAATTCGTATATAAATAATGCTGTATACTCTGTAGTAAATGTTTAACTTTGCCGAATCACCAAAAACCTGAAACTGGCCGCAGGCGCGCTGTCAAGTCCTCGCACCGGCGAACGGTTTCACACTAATATTACATAAAAATAAAAGACAGCAATTTGGTAAGGGAATCCTAAAGCCGGGAGGCCACACGAATCAACACTGGAAATGCTAAAAGGCGATATAAACAACATACTGAATTACTGACGCATCATCAACATAGCCGACCATCAAAACTTACTAGTTTTATAGATTAAAAAATGCTATACGAGATGAATCGCGGCGGATAATACTAAGTTATGTCGTTAAAATGATCGACCCACGAGTTGTTTGGGCGCCTTTAGTCTCAATATCGCTCACTACGAGCGAGACGTAGGCTATCGTTATAAATTAAAACTCGAACGTTCCCTAGCAGACTACTATGTGGCCAGATGTTCACTCACTGCACATGATCTCTAAGGAACGAGATGATATAAAATGTAAACTGTCTAATTACGACGTTAATATATCGATATTTAATTAATTTATTTCCAACAATAAACCGGCGGTCATCCTTGTCCCCTAGTGATAACGTGGCACGACCTGTCATGGGTACGATCCACTACATGAAAGCACGGTAAAAGAAGTCAATATTGGTGTTCGCGGTGTAAATAACGTGTAGTTATAAGGCTATGTATGTCTGAAGTCGTGCGATAGCAACACTGCACCGGGACGACATACCGTCAGCTACAAAAATACCCGATAATCGAGAATTACTGCTATTAAAAAAACATGCTTAGATATTTTGGTCACCGGCCGTACGTACAGCGTACAATAAGTTAAGTATGGTAATCATGGATTACACGTATCGATATTATCTAAAATTCATTGCGCAATTACCTTCCTGCTAAAAAGAATTATTTAAATAGTACGTAATGAATTTCTTATGTTAATGACCTTTCGCGCCAAACTCTCGGTATCAATCGACGCGCGGACTAGACTTCAATCGAATGGAATAAATATACCCTCTTATTGGCCAACGCATTTTAACTCGACAACTTTTAAGTTAATTTGAAAGGTACACGAAGAGACAATTCACGCTGTAAAGTTACCATATGAGAAACAAGTATGTACTTGGCACATCAGTCGCCAAATTAAAATACGTTGGCTAAATGTCTAAATTATACTTCTGACAAGAAAAACTAGGTATCCAGCATCTCGTTTTAACACAAAATCCTGGACACCTAGCTATCTCGGACAAAGTTTATCAGTAAGGGGTTTACAGTAACGCTAAAGTGTAAGTCTATAGAATCAGCTGGACTGTAAAACATGAATCAACATTGAACAGCTAAAGAGTTGAGTTACGCTAAGTCTGCGCCGAATCGCGACCCGGTCCTGTAATCCATGAGTGTTATGCGCTGTCACTATCGCTGGGGCCCGCTGCTCAGTTGTATATCTTGATGGCCTTCTCGAGGTAGTTGACGCGCGAGCGCTTGGGCGTCTTGTTGATGTGTTCGAGCCCTAGCCAGGGCCGCCCGCCGGTCGCGTCTGGTAGAGACATATCTGCATTACATTTTAGCGCATATTCACATGGAGATAGAGACGATGTAATCGAGTGGTGATGCGGTGCGATAGTTGAGGTCAATTTTGTTTCTTTGTAACTATTAAAGTCCGGTCGCCGAGCTCACACACTCACTGCTGCCGCCCGTCGCACAATCGCGACAGCAATATAATTACGTGCGAGTGATAAGGATGGGTAGCTTGGGGTCATTGGACGAAATCCTATGTGCTTTACGACCGGACTTTAGTGGAGAATTAGTGAACAGTTTGCGATGGCCTTTCTCATTCTTATAACAACACATCCCCATGCGTCATCTTATACATCTAAAGCCGTAATCAAAAAATAAA